AATACCGACTCGTTCAGTTCTTGCTGTTTGTAAAAATTGTGGTTAGGATTCCTTTCACTGTGTCCCTGTCGTTGGAAAGTCCCCTCCCACACAGACTGTAGGCTTGGCCTTGGGACTTGCTTAGGTCAACGGGACGACAGCAAAGTGACACCAATAGAAGCCTGGAAACTGCTTGTCCTGTGCCTTCCCTTGCTGCTCCGTGGAACCCCAAGGCTACCCTGTGAAGAAGCCTCAGCTGGTCTACTGGGGCACAAGCGCACACATTCCCTCCTAAATCGGTCCCAAAAGACCAACATATCTGTCAACCACCAGATGTGTGAGGAGGCCACCCTAGAATGTTGTGTCACCAGCTGGCCCTGAGCTGACCACAACACAGGAAAGACTCCAGCTGAGATCACTGAGCTGGCCCAAACCAGAAGAGCCACAAAACCAACCCTCAGACTTGTGAGCTAAGGAAAATGGTTACTATTTCAGCCACTTCATTTGGGGGTGATTTGTTACACATACAAACAGACCGATACACTCATGTCAGGAAGCTACTATTGCTGCTCCTATTCTGCAAATGAGGCAACTGAAGCAAAGAAGGGTAAAGTGATTTGCACAGTGGGTAAACAGCAGGGCCAGGATTCAACCCCAGACAATCAGTGTTCTTAATCTCCACACCACAATGCTTTACCCACCAAAGAGAAATGTTCAAAAGTGTTCATAGCACTTGACAGAGGAATTCCATAGTAGTTAATTATGCAGATATGTTCACCCACATGCAAAATGAGGTATACATGAGATTATTCACCATGGCATTATTAATAGGAAAAGACTAGAAACAACCAATTCTAGTATGATCTAGTCATATAAAGATATCTATAGGCAACTATTTTTTAAAATGGGTAGATCTATAAATACTGATCTTTTTGTCCAAGGAGAAAAAGTAGGGTGCATATGAGTGTATACACCAGGATTTGTGTATAGAAAACAAAGGGGAAAATCTGAGTACATAACTCCTTGTTACACACAGATTATTTCTAGAAGGACCCCAGAAATGTGTTTAACAATGGTGAGTTCAGAAAGGAAAGCAGCTGGCTGGGTGAGACAGCTAGTAGAGACAGTTTTCATTGTAATCCTTTCTATATCTTTTGAACTATATATTGTGTAAATGTATCACTTATTAATTTTATTTTTTTGTCTTTTCTGACTTTTTTATTTTAAAAACAAAAGGAGGAAAACATTAACAGACAGACAACCTTTTACAAAATAGCAAAAGAACAGTACAGACAATACAGAGTTACAAACAAAGTGGTAGGAAATTAACA